GGGGCCGGCAGTGTTTATATACGCTCAGTGAAATAATGAAGATGTTCCTAATAATAAATAGTGTTGTAATGAGACAGCCTCATTTTCATTATTGACGTAATGAACGAAAAGCCCTGGGGACGACCGCAATCAAGATGGAGCCGAGTGCTCAAGTCCAGACTGAGGGGGCGTACTATGGGGAGACGGTAGTGTTTACGTGACTTCACCAGCAATTGTATTGTTTTGTCGCGACCGCAAACAGGTCACCGCACTGAAAAGCGCTATGTTGCGGGCAAAAAAAAAAAACGAAAAAATAAAGGAAGTTATCACGTGCGGTAAAATTAAAGGTGGTCTGAGTTCGTTCAATATTTATAGCGTGAATCTAAAATTTGTTTGTTTAGGAAGTCAAAGAGATTGTTCTAAACACGTACGAATGCTGTCAGTTGACTAAAAGGGTTTTGGTACGATATTGTGCTACGATCAAGTGTGTCGAATGAGTCAGTCGCTGTAGGGACTGGGTTTTTTTAATGCGTATACTGATTTTCATTTTCTCTTCCTCTGGTTAACCACAGAACCTGGGATATTTTTCGCCATCTTCAAACTGACAGCCCTGAGACCTGCCGCGAATTTGTTTTACGTGTGCTGCGTACAGAAGTTCAATATGTCACTTCCTTCCTTAGTCGAAAATCAGGACAACAGGAAAGAGGATATTACGCACGTAGGCTATTCCGTGAGACACTTGTTTTTAAAAAAACAATTGTCTCACATGCTACGTTTGTCTCTATCACGTCATTAAATTTTTTTGTGTGGTTTTTATTACCGTATCAATAGACGGATTCGGCTATCGTTGCCACCCAGTTCAAATCATGTGATGATTCATTTGGGAGGTTACAATTGTTTTGTTTGTACATATTCCCATGCAATGAGCTGCGTGTGACAAATTGCGCCATTATAATCTCCCAAATGAGTCATCGCATGTTCTGAATTGGGTGGCAACAAGGATGCAAACACGTTAGTCGAATCCGTTTATTAATGCTACGTCTGCTTATATCCTTCGGAAGATACATCGATCTTGAAAAATTCGGCGCAAGGTTCTCAAATTGTGATCCGTCTCAATCTAGCTTTTCCAGTCTTAAATATGATTTGCTTTTTTGGTCTGCATGTGTATTGGATCTCTTCGGTTTTCGAGGTTTTCTGGCTTGAATTTGCAGTCAGCCGTTTGGAACATAGCAAAATTAAAACCCTCATTTGCGATCGGGTAACAGTAAGAGTCATCATTGATATTGATAAACTGTTTCTCAGAATGCTGCCAACTTTGTAGTCCCTTCGTCCGTTTGCTATTTTGAGTGTAGCTAAAATTTTTGGTTCCAAGTTATAAGAGTGCTCAACAGTGTGGCGCATGTTTGCCGAGAAGGATGCCTTATTTGCCAGCAAAGTTTTGCTGTGTATAAAAAGTGCCAATTTCAAAATAAGCTTCTTTAAAAAAAAATGCTGGTTTCAAGCTGGAGGTTTGTTTCTATTTTAGGTGAAATGTTCTGAGAGGATGTCAGTAGGCTTAACGAGGAAGCGTTAGTTGCTTGGTTTTTTTTTACGGGAAATGATAACTGGAATATTTTTTTAGTTACCGGACAGATGAGCTAATAGCGGAAGGGGTGTCATTGATATCAGTGGAGGTGTGCTTCTATAAGTGGCGCTATTTAACAATTAGATTATGAGCTCGAGGTTTCTATCGCGCGATAGATGACGATGGCACAGCCCGAGTCAACAACTATCACGAGCTCATAAATTAATTGTTTAAGTATAAATCTACTAGTCGTTGAGACCTTATCAAAATTCTCTTCACAGACACTTCGAAAACGCAAAGAAACCCAGGGCCGCAGCCAGGCCGGAGACAGCAGTAACAGAAGTTTTAGGCACAGAACAAATTAAAAAAGTACATTCAAAACGAAATTCCGTCATTTCGTGAGGGTCAGAAAAGCCAGATTATGCTAGCAGTGCTAAATTTAGATAAAAGCTAAAAATTATGCTCGGTTTGCTAAATTATGCCAAAAATTATGCTAGCACAATCCGGCGACAAAAGCCTAATTATGACTGAAGCGATGTCTACGGTTTAATTCTCCTCCTAGGTATTAAGGGTGTTTATGATGGATATAAACAACAAGAACGAAAAACAATGACTGAGGCAAGTGCCTCGGTTTGCCTGTTACTAGCTACGGCCAACCGAACATTGCGAGGCTACTCACTATCTTTAACAGAATAGATAGTGACTAATAATAGAACGGCATTCGTGATAGAACGCTAGAAGATTTATACTTCAAACGTGTAGAATATAAAGATCCTGACAAATATTGATCAATTTGGCAGGGTTTGTTACAACTAAGCCATCATGATTTCTTTTAGAATTTTTCAAATTCTTTACAATAGCGTAAGACTAACAACAAAATGATCGGACGATCGAGATGGACTGAGGTTCCACAGCATAGGCAATGGAGGTGATAGGCGGTGTTGGTACACTGAAACTTGTTTCATCGGCTTTCGGTCAGATTGTTCAGGATTGTGGACCGAAAACTAACAAAGTTAAGCTGATGTCCTGCAGTACACGAAGTAGGTCTCTGAGTTTAACCACGCGTAACACTGACGAATCATTCAATGGCAGCTGCTACACAGTAAGCGATGCCCATCAGAAAGAAGAATGGCAAAAGAACCAAGCCTAGTACTAAGTAACCTGGCGCCAGGAGTAGCACCCAGAAGCAAGCTGCAAGAAAAAAAAAAGACGTCGCCTAGTTGGATACGCTCTCCATTTTACAAAGATCGAGGAGACTGGATATCAGCTTGAGGCGCTAGGATTTCTGGGATTGCTTGGGTTAGGAAGCAAGGTGACGCGCGCTAACATTTAAGTACATTTTGTTACTGGGTTTGACAAAAAAAGGGGCTTATCTTAGAAGGGGTGTATTACCGATAGTAATCGAAGTTTTAAACATGATTGGCTTATATTTGGAAGGGATTTATTTGCAAACAGCTTCAGGTACATGTTGAAATGCCCAAATGTTGTTGTTTATGGTGGTCATTGGGCTTAGCTACACCTAGCTAGTTCACTGGCATGCCACTTAAACTGAAAGAAGCAAATATATCAACTAAACACAATGGGCTTAAAAATCCCAACTTGCGGGAGCCAGACCAGTTGGCTATTTACAAGCACGACCGAGGAGTTGAACTAGGGTCTACTGAGAAACAACTCCAGCTTAATCAGTAGTCAGAGCCGGAACTTGAAACCGTGACCTCCGGATTTCAAGTCCGGCGCCCTAACAACTTGGCCACGCTGTGTCCTGGAAATATTGCAGTGGTAAAATCTTACAAAAAATAATGATTGATTTTGAACCGGAGACAAATGTTGGAGAGCATTTTACTATGGAGATGTTTAAGTACCCCGACAACAAATGAATCGTACCCTTGCCGTGAATACTGTACCACGCATGTCCTCGTTCACAGAATAAGCATCCGAAACAATAATCACAACGATACTGCGGTGGACTTCCTTCTTCAATTACAACCTCTGTAGAAGGCGGAGCATCCGTGAGAAGAGGTGAACCATCGCTACAACATTACAACAAGATGGAAATGAGTTTATTCCAATGAGTGGTAAATTAGTCTGTTCCCCTCAGTTCTTAGGTTGTGGGGAAAATGACTAAGGATAACGAAAAAGGCGAAAATGCACAACGGAAAAGACGTTGGAAAAATGACATAGACCAAGGTACTGAGATGGCTGAGAGCTATTTTGGCAATGAGACAATGAAAACCTTTTTCTGTGCGTGTGTTTTGTTTTGCTCGAACATCATGGCGGGGACCGAATGGAATAAAAAAGGTTTTCAAGGCACGATGATTGAATCACCATACGTCATCGGAAGTACATTCGATCGTCAGGCTAACTTAGTAACTATCGTCACAGTTTAAATCCCAAGGCTGAGAGACAATCAGCGGTGAAAACAATTGATATCTCATTACTCAGGAGAATATGATCTAAGAAACACATTCCCCGTACATGGACCTCTTCCCAAAGAGATATTCCGCAATGCCAACTCGTTCCAGGGTCTCTCATCTTCCCGCCCCCTGGAGTCCTCTCTCGCTCCAGGGGGTGGGAAGATGAGAGACCTGAGAACTAGGTTGTCGCAATGCAAACAGTGCAGTAGTTCAAAACAAATGATTTTTTTTCTCTAAACGCGTTAGATTTTCAAATTTGGATTTAGATCAGACGCGACCCGATGACCGTTGGGAATTGGCTGCGCAATCATGGAACCGAGACTGAAAATAACTTTCATAGCGAGACGCGAAGCTTAAAATAGATTTCATGGCCAGATTATCATGAGGGACAGGGAAGTGTTCTCTTAGATCGTAGTCTCTCGCCTAACTACAGTGCAAATACGTACAAAGCATTTAAAATGAAGATTATTGTAAGGAAAGGCGAGCAGTTTTAGTGAATCAAACGCATTCTTACCCGAACTTAGTTACTTCTTCCACCGCTTGAAAGTCGCCTGGTTCAACTTGAACGGCGACACTTGCACATGTGCTGTGTGTTAACAATAAATGAAGCAAAGAAAACATTTTCAGTCATTTCAGCAACGAAAGTATGAAGCTAACTGATTAGATATTATTTTGCCTCAAAGTTGTACACTTAGGTGAAACATGTGTTTCTAAACTACAAGGCAAATCATTTCGTTGGGCTTAAAATAAGCATTAGACGAGTCAGGTCTACTTGTGATGTATTTTTGGTTGCCAGTTGAGGTATTTTTTCTAAGATGGTCAGATCTTGCTCCCACTGATGTTTGAGAGGAACTGGAAATCCGCTTCACCGGTTGTCAGTTGTATATAAAGTGAAAAGAAAAAGGAAGAACACACACACATATATATATATATATATATATATATATATATATATATATATATAGCACGGAACTATAAAATCATTTGAGGAGGAGGAGGGAGAGTTGAGAGAGCTATAGCATGTGACTGATTTTGGAGAAGATCGGGCGAGGCCGTGGGATAGAGTAAAGTTCCCGGGTTGCTCAATCGTTAATAAGTCTGTTCCGGGTTAAATAGAATTTGAAATTCTTAAGTACATTACCAGATTTCAAAATTCCTTATATCAACTTGAGTGCCGCACCTAAAACAAAGACAATTGTCGTCAGTAAGGTGAAGTATTTATTTTTATTATATCTCTCAGTTAGTACGCGCGCTGTGATTGGTCAATTTAGCGGGCCGTACTCTTCTGTACGGCCCGCTAAAATATAACGTTGGTTTTGTTGCCAAACTGTTTCGTGATTTATCGAAAGTGTTCTTAACTTTTATAGCAAGTGAAAGTTTAAAACTTTCCTATACTCTAAATTATGTAATAGAGCGTGCTAAAGACTTAAAAACAGTTTCAAACTGACTCGTTTTGCTTTCGAGGTGCGTCAGAAATTTGAAGCCTTTCTGAGTCCGCGTTAATAGAAATCGTTTCCGAACCCGTCAGGCACACAGTAGAGGTATAATAAATATCTTACTAACTTCGTCTTCTCGGTCCGTACTGTAAATGACGGATCCTCGTTTTCCCCCTTCGATTTACGACCCGCGCGCTTCGCGCTTGGGCCATAAATCGAAGGGGAAAAAACTCGGTCCGTAACTTACAGTACGAACCGAGAAGAAGAGGTTAGTAAGAGGTATATACACGATAACAATATAACAGCAACGCTAATGTGGTCGTGTGTAAAAATCAGAAAACTATCTAAAAGACGCTCTAAAAGGTATTTACAAAGAAGAGAACTATTGATTACAGAAATAAGACGATAAAATAAAAAACGATTTCGAAAAACATTTAAGCAAAAAAATTAACGTAAGTAAAGTAACATGACGTTTCGACAACTTCGTGTCATCATTGTCAAATAAATAAATCAAAAATAGCGGCAAGGCATCTTTATAGTACTTAGGATATGAGAAAAGAAAGAAATGTGAGAAATTTATTTTCTCACATCCTAAGTACTATAAATATACCTTGCCATTACTTTTAATTTATTCATTTGACAATGATGACACGAAGTCGTCGAAAAGTCATGTTATTTTACTTACGTTTAAATACGATAAAGCACAAAAAAAAAAACATAAAACAATAAAAAGATGTAAAAGCTAGATCGGTATTTAAAATCTGTAAAATTCACGTAGTATTTTCCTAATTTTTCCTTTTAAAAGCGCCAAGTCAGTCAATATTCTAACTTTAATTCATTGTCAAGCTTGTTCCAAAGTTTGGCCCTAACAGAGGTGATGGACTTCTTTAATGTACTGGTCTTGGAGAAGGGAATATTAAAATAGAGTTTTTGCCTGAGAATGTAGCTCATCTCACGTTTTCACGACAGTCTTGCAAACAAGTGTGTAAAACTGACAAGGCAATCGAACCATTATCAGGCAATCTACTTCTCACAAATTTGACCTGAAATATTATCACCAGTTGTCTTAAGTTTACTGAAAACTATTTCGAATCCCCTTCATCGATTCCCATTCAAATTTTGGTGCTACTTTTGCAGTCTTACGGCCGATTGCAAACTGAATATAGATTACCTCTTCCCATCACAGCTACATATCTTATCTTGAGCAGTGTTAAAGACGCTTTTGTTAGGAATCTTTTATTTTATAGATTCTGAATATTGTTTTCAGCTGTTATCAAATGCTTAACAAATAATTCAGCGCGGACATCGTATTCACACGCAAAACTGTATTCCGCGCCAACTTCTGCGTGCTCCCTACAAAAGGACAGAAATATACGCCATCTTCAGTTTTATACAGTGTAGTGTACTTACTCAACAACCGTCACCATTTTCGGTGCGTCATGTGACACTTGGTGACTGCACTTTCCAGTGGAAGATTAAACGTTTTTGGCTTATTAACTAGCTGCAAATAAGAAGGGTAGAACAGAAACTCAGTCAGATCTGTTTCTGCAGCTTGAAGTCACTAAGTGCTATAAAGAGTGAAACATCCCTAGGGCAATTCGTAAGACACAATATAACTTCGTTTCCTTGTGGTTATTCATTATTGTTGGTCATTATTCATGCAAAGAGAATTGTAAGTACGTAAAAGGCACAAGAGCAAAATAAACTCTCATTGCATGGAGCTCGAATACCGAGCTGTGGCACAATCCTCAAATACAAATACTGTATCGACCTATATCCATTCTCGATTAACTAGCTCTTCCGTCAACAATAGTTTTCAATCAACATTTTTGCCATTTTAACTCCAAGCACTTTTATAATGGATCTCCACAAATCATTTGTGGAGACCCATTGTTAAAGTGCTTGCATAACTTATGCAAGTTATGCATAAAAACACAGAACTAAGTGACATTGTAGATCTTGTCGCGTAACGTTGTTACAAAGAAAATGAGAAAAATAACCAACCACGAAAATCTGAAACGAATGAGTGAGATAAAACTTCAAAAAGAAAGAAACGCTGCCCTCACATAAATTCTTGTTCCACGCTTTTACAAGTGTCAGGTACACGAAACACCTACACAATTTTACTAATTGACTCGTCATTACTAGTCCCTATATCCTTATTTTTTTAGCACTGGATTCCGAAGAGTATGCATATTTTATATTTGCTGACCTTGGCCGATCAGTATAGAGATTCTTTATTATAAGAATCATATAGAAGGCCGATGACACAGTCTTTTCTGTATTCAAACGAACCATTGCTAGTGGGAATATTATCAATTTTTGCGTCTTTTTGAAAAAAGTAAACCTATTTGTAAGTTAGAACGCGATTTCTTCCAGGATATCCCAGTTTTTTTTTTCAGGTTGTTTCGGTAGCCTGCTAGGGAATCTACATTAAAATCTCAATCGAGATCGAGCCTATGATGAGAATGATGCCAGTCTCTTGGCCAAAAATACCACGCAACGACTCCGACCAGGACTCGAACCTTGACTCTTCCGTCCGGAATGTGAAGAACGGATTTACTGTCAAAACTAACAGCAAACTGAAAATAATAGAATTTACTCTCCAAGTTAAAAATCCAATAAATACTAGCCTTTGTTGAGAACGGTTAGTGAAGGAGAACTCCATGCATGTCCGAGCGGAACTCTTGAACTGTTGTTGTTGAACTTGTGCCACAAAGATGTTTGGTTCTACAGATTCCGAAAAGAAAAAAAAAACCACTGAATTAAAGGTATACAGAAGCAAATCGAATTTTCGTGCTGCAACAAAAAAGGAAAGTAATTCAAATTAATTCTTGACTGCAATTTCTTTTTTTGACTTCTTTTCTTAATTGAACTTGTCAAAATTTTGGCAGCTATTTTGACGGGTACGTAAACAAAGCCTTGACGATCCGATGTGGAACTGTGTTTCCCGAAGTAAATTTCTCGACGATTTACGTTCTCAAATCTCGATTCAAATGTTCAAACAATTTGCATTTAACATTCAATTCGAAGAGTTCTTATTTAGTTTGCAGTCTAAAGAATTCCATTATGATGTATATTTATGAGTGGTGGAAAAAACACATATATTGAAGATAATTATAAAACCTCTGTAATTTGCCACCCGTAAACATAATTTAAATTTGTTAAAAATAGTCGTTTCCAGGCCCTTTGGGTTTACTGGTCAGCGACATGGATCACGCCTTCAGAAATGATTAAGTATGTGGTGTAACAAGCACTACTTCTAGCATGATAGCGTGATCTCTAAATGTCACCTTGGAGATTTGTGTTACGTTATATAACGGCTGCTTTTGTTGTTGAATAAGGAATTAATTTGGCAATAGTTAAGAAGCGGTTACTCTGTGGCTTCAGTAATGAAGATGGATTGGAAAGTTTTGAAGAATACGAAGCAACCATATTTATAGGCTGTAACTTATGAAAGGAAAACAATGAGTGTGCAAAGAAACACTAAGCCACTGAATCCCTTGAGTAAATGAGGGCTACTGCCTTGTATGCTCCACTCACAGGAGCGAAGAGGATGGGTGAGTGAGTGATGGAAAAACAAGATTACATCATAATCGTTCTACCTTTAAAATTGAAACAAATTAATTAAGCAAATCTTACGATTACGGAAGACAAGAAGAATACCTTTACAATATGTACCATCGTGCATGATTAGGTTTGAGCAAAAAATATTAAATTCAAAATTACAAAAAGTCAATGTTCAATCAACTAATTTTACTGATTACGTAAGCAAAGTATATTTACCCAGGATTTACTTTTCTATTTTAAGTAGAATGTTCGCTGCTAAGAACATAAATAACCTCAAATGCATGTCTACAGTGGATTAATATTCTTTTCATTTATACTATGAGGGAATGCCTCCTCGCTCTGAAAAATCCAAAACGTAAGTGTATGCTTAATACGTAAATGTCTAAAAAGGAATCAACCAATTACACTCTATACAATACCAATACACTGTAAAACGGGCAGGCGACAAGAATAAAGAAAGTAAGCAATTAGGGGATACTATAGTCTTGATGTACCTCCAGATACTCAAAGCTAATGTGAAGAGAAATGTAAGGCATATGTTAAGGAGAATTTCAGCCTACTTGAGAGTGAGATGATTAAAGATGGATGAAGGAATGGCTGAGTACGTAGTGGAGGAAAATCCAACCGTGTTACAAGAGAAATTGAAAATTACAAAAATTAAACAAAGCAGCTTGTCTCTAAAACACTGAAGGCCGTGCGAGTTTCATTTCTACAATCATGAATTGTACTCGAAACGTATAAAATATCTCTACTCAGCTCTGCATGCACCTAAAATATTCCGGAAGCCTTATTCAACGTAGCGGCTTTGAAATTTTCTTTCTACCTTCAGCTTTCATTTCCTACCTGGATTTTTTTTTTTACCGTTGACATCCGATCAATCTTCGCTTGAGTTGAATATTAAGCTACACGCAACTGTGGAATGAAATTCAGGCCTTGCATTCACCCTGCGATTGTGCTCTTCTCCAGTTTAAAAAAATATATCTATCGCTTAAATCTCATTTTATAAACAAAAACATTGACCCACTGCGAGGCCACTCAGACAAATTTTGATTTGATGTTCTGATATAATTTGCTTTATCTTATTGTTAACTGATTCCCTTTCAAGACCATGCTGATGTTAATTCTTAGCAATTTTCTATTTTTGGGGCATAACAAACCATTGTTTTTTCGAGATCACTGAAAATAGCGCGAAGGTCAATAAATTCGTCACGGAAAGATGCTTTTAGCATTTAAAGTCTTTAAACGTAAATGGTAAATGGACTCCTTTGTCCCATTAATAAATAAACAGTTTTTTTCTTAAATCGATTATGACGTCAAAGAAACCGCCATCGTAAAATTGAAATTTCTCACAGGAGAAAATATTTATATATGAAACAAATGTGTCTCCGAACAGATATTTATGAAACTGTAGCAAAAGGAGACAACTGATTTGGTTTGACACTATGTAGCTGATATCAGCTTGTTTTATACTGAAATACATCTATTTATCCAAACCAGTAGCTAGACAATTAAAATTGATGGTACGATATGAAGAAAGAAAACATTAAAATTAAGAACACTTTACTTATCTTTCGTCAATAAGCAATTATAATTTTGAAAGTCCTATCTCTGTGTTCAACAGTGTTGCTAACCCGTCTTCTGTAAGCCTTCAAACTCTGTTCATGGAGCCTTTTAAAACCATGAATAAAACAAAGCTTTCAAACTGTGCGCTTTCCCACTGAAACTTGGCATTAATATTTAAGGAAGCTCCATATTTTCATGAAGATAGCTGTGTTGGTGCCACGCACACTCTCTGTCAGTAAAATAATACCAAATTGATAATACACTCCCCTACGTATCAGTTATTTGCCATTCAACCGAGCATAAAATTAGGTAAAGCAAACAATGTGGAAAAATAGTTACCATATAAATTGCTAAATGAATATAGCAGTATCACCATCGCTTACAAGATGCAAGGTTTACGGAAATATGAGACTAGCAGCTTATTCGCTTACTTACCAAAATCTGTTGCTTTAAATGCTTAAAATTTTCAAACAAATCACCGTTAATGACCACGGCTGTATACAAAGACAATGGCACCAAGGCGGGAGTGGAAAAATCAATTTCGAAACACTCTGAGTAATGCGAAACACAAATGCAAACTATATTCTGGCCAATGAAACTCGTGATGCTTTGATGCCATTGCGTAATCCAATAATTTTGTGGTAAGCGTAAAATTCAGATTAATTTGTGATCATGATTTAAATTTTACCGTACACATCAACATAAATGAAACAAACGCTTTGCTTCCCCAAACTGGGATCCCATATTTCTATGACATTGCAGCGGAATTAATGACACTTCACATGTTTTCTAGACTTGAAATGATGAATTGATCTACGGAGGTGTTTTCTTTTGTTTATATGAAAAATACAAAAAAGAGTTGATATTGTATGACATTGTCGATAGTCCATTAACCGTCTGCCCAAAAATCAACTAGATAGTCTAGATACACACACACACACACACACACACACACACACACACCGAGGAACAAGAACCTTCAGTGATCTTGCACTCATGTTTAACGCTTTTTTCAAAGCATTTGTAAATATTAGCAGAACAAGCCAAATGGTTTCCAAGAATATTTGTATACGGGTTATTGACCGTGCGTGAGGTCAACATAGTTGGATATTGGCACGGATCGTTTTTGTGTAGTTATACAGCGAGATGCAGTCAGGTTCATAAACGCGTAAAAAAAAAGGAACGAAGCCAATATTTATATTCAGCTTGACCGAACAAGCTTGGTCAACTATAAAGGACATACTACATGGGATATCGGACACCATTTTCTTATGGGATACAGCAGGCGCACAGTGGCCAATAATAGCGCAGAACTTGGTTTATCTTGCCTGTTTGTAGAGTTAGCAATATAAAAAGGAACTTTATTTCACCAAAGGCTATCCGTTGTGCCCGGGATTTTTATAGAGAGGTTGAGTACAAACTAATAGAATGGGACGTTTTGTTATGACGTCAGACTGGTATGTCGCGTCGTGTGGTTCATTCGACCCATCTGATTGGCTAATGCAAATTGTTTACACTTTCCAGCGAGTAATTATCACTATTACGCACAGTTGCCATAAGTCAGTGTATACCCAGCGACAACTAACTGATTTAACTACAGACTGAAAATGAACAGCAACGGACAACAAGCCATGATAGCTGTTCAAGAAGAACGGGCAAGAATCGGAGGAATTGAAGTGGCAAAGAAGACGGTGATAGCCGCTACAGACGAAGGGTACGTTAGTGTGACTGACTTCTTTCATAAGTGTTTCCCGCGCACGTAGTATTTGATAGTGTTTTCAACTGAGGAAAGGTCTCAGCAACGTCGTCATATTTGCTCCCTATATAGCTAGTGGACAAATATTGCCGCTGTATCGCTTTCTACTAACGTAGATAGCCTAGAAGCTGAACACGATATTTAAATTAAGGAATGGTCATGATAGTTGAATGTTGTTTTCCCAAATCTGTAGAAAGCGGAAGCTGTGTTGACCCGTTTAATTCAACTGCATCATGAGGAACCAACTGAATTTTACAATTTGTCACAAATATTTTATCCCCGTTTTAGTTTTCCCTTGTTTATCAATGGCGAAATTAAGGAGGAATAGACAAAGTTGGACGTATTTCCGCATCGAGAATTTGTTTAGCTTTACGTGTAAGTCAACTGTCGACTCAATGAAATGGTCTGTTGCACTTTGTAGCAGACCTGCCCGGTCTCGCGTGCCCCTTGTCACGCTTACCGCCGACTTAGCTGAAAGTAACACTGATAGTAGTGCACTACTGTTATCAAGACATAAATGGGTCATAAATTCTCAGTTACTTCAGGGCATTGTCAAATAGGATTTGTCTTTTATTTGGAGTGGTCATGGATTTATGCAAATTTTTTGAACATTGAACGGTTAATGCTGGGTTCATGACGTGTTCATGTGTGCCACTGAACCGAGACAGACATGGCGCAAACGAAGTGGTTTTACTAGTCCTGTCCATCGAACGGACTTGAATATTCTACTGTGTCTTTTAGAACACGGTACATCTGCAAACTTGAAATCCATTAGCCTGAAAAGTTCACGGACGAAGATATTGCCATTTCTAGAGGGCTTGTCTCCAACTCTGGCCAGAACCCTTAGAAGTGTTTCTTCTGAACAAAGTACAGAGCTCACCACCCACGCAAATAGTTATTTTAAAGCGACAATTGAGAACCGTTTGATTTTAAAATATTTAGCTATAGTTAAAAATTTGTGTGAATTTTAACACTGGTGCTTTTGAACTCTTTTGTAGGGTTATCGCGTTTCAGATCAATACTGTGGAGGCAAGGTAAAACTTTGCATCAAGTAACTTAAACTTTTGAGTCTTTATAGTGATTTCCAGTAAGTTGACGTTTCGGCCACGGAATCGAAAATGCCATCGACTCCTAATAATGAAAGAACCCCTCCTAATAATGAACGTTCCACTGGCTATGTCCCAGAGGAACTTCGTTATATACAGGTTCGTTAAGGAGATTTCACTGTATTATGCTAAGGAAAATTAAATGTAATTAAGTATAGACTGTTATTAAAGATGAACGAAATATTAGCTGAATATTTCTGCTAATTCTGCTTCAGCTGTAAGGATTGAAAGAACACTAATCTAACTTGTATTTTTAGCGGCCCTCCCCAACAAAGGCCAGCATTACCAGGCTACCCAATGGCAGCATTACCGGCCAGCAGCCCCAGTCCTATTGTGGTAAGCACTGAATCTGATGGTAGCTGCGTTGACTGCTGTTGCGCATGTGATAGTGGCTACGAGTGGTACGAGTTAAAGGGAAAAGGTACGTACTCGGCAGGGAAGTACCATTTCTTGAGATATAATGAAAAGCTAATTCTTAAAGGGACCCTGTCACCATTTTTAGCATGATTTTGAAAACCTCAAAAACCTATATCGATCATTGGAAGCCGACTTATTTTGTAGAGCAGTATTCTACAAATGATTAATGAATGGCGAGGATGGAAACGGATTGGGATATGGATTTCAGGATGCGTCAGGATGTCAGTTTTTCAAAGGTTCAAGTTTGGCTCGAAAATCGTTGAAATTTTACAAAAATGTTGCTGCAGTTTGGACTTTCTCCAAGAAATTGCTTTTAATCATTTAGTTAGGGCCAATTAAGCTCTTATTACATAAATTTAGGGACTATTTCGTGAATTTATAACAGTTTTAAGAAAATATATCGCGTCAGTGTCCCTTTAAGAAGCTCGCCAAAGATAACGAAATTTCAAGAATTGTAGCTTGTGAAACAACCGGCCTGGTTTAGAGACTGTCTTGATTGGCTGAGAAAATTCCCTATTGATGATGCAACCATACAGAGGTCTGTTTCGTGTCTCGAAATTGTGTCTCGATTGATTGCTGCCCGGTTTTAAATTTTCGCGCGCAGTTAACGACCAATCAGAGGACGCTACAGGGTTCTTCATTTGAATAGCGCAAGTTTCCATTTGCTCCAAAGCTTGGAGAAACTCTTGCGGGAGTTTGAGTGAAATAATTGTCATATTGCACAGTTGTATTCGTGATTGGGTTGTAGCAGGAACCTGCATAAGTATTTTTCCATTTAATTTTACGCTGCTCCTTCATCCTTTTGCTTCTGCCGTTTTGTCGGAATTATTTTATGCCTGTTTACACTCCTTTCTTGAAGTATCTGTTCAGATAGGAAGGCAAGTTTGCACGTAGATATACCTTTTATTTCTGTTCTGGTTTTTCAGGTTTTTGCTGCATCCTCTTGCTTCTTCTATTCTATCTGGTGGTGGGAGCAATTTTTCTCCCCCTTGCAATCGCGGCCTGTATCTGTGCATGTCTGTGTGATAGTGGCAGCAATGACTGAACCGTATGATCGAGGAGGCTGGATGTGAGTCCACACTGAGGAAACTCGATTGGGCGTTTTACATGGTTAATCTTAGAAGTAAGACACAGTCTAATATAAAAAGGTTGGTTAGCGAAAACTTCTTCGGCGATATTTTCGACTGAAATGTAAATTTTACAAGGTACTGATACAGGAGTGCCCAGATTAAATTTACTTTTGACTTTTGGATTTTCTTTTAAAGCGTTATGAGAATACGAAACGACACCATGCATTAATGGATTTGAAAAATAAAACAAAAGAAGTAAAAAGTTCAGTGCTGAAGGTAGACGCGAACGGGTAAATAAACGATTGAAGGCAAAATGTAACATACTGTGTGAAAAAAGAAGAATAAGTATGAATTAGTATCAGGAGCCATAATCGGGGACGGAGACCGTAAGTCTTGGGATCCGCGCGCGCCTATGATATGGGACAATTTTTCTATT